AAAACTTCAACAAAGTTCAAGTCTGCAGTGCTTCATCAAGATATAATATCAAAAACAGAAATTTCTAGACAAATTATCCGGCAGTAAACACATATTTGTGAAAATGTTGTTTTTACCTTCAATGCCTCCTTTTCGGCAGCTGCCACAAGCTCTGGATATCTAAAATTTCACCCCCTAGCAACAAGTACACAGCGCTGTGTACTCCATATATAATCAATGGGCGCTATTCCAACGCACCCGCGAGGTCAAATTGACCTCCCTCGACCTATTTATTGTGACTAATCAAAAGCCTTGTACTATTCGCCTTAATCGTCCACGTTGCATGCTCCGGGCTGGTGTTGTCTGAAATTAGGTTTTAAAGATGAGACTGTCATTCATTTTTGTTGTCAGATCTGGAAAAGTAACATGATTTCGTGAATAAAACTTGCTCACAAATTCACAAGATGCCCTTAAACCATGAGTAAACGCGCATCGAATTTTGGAAGAACTGAATTTTGACTAATCAGAGAGCTTGTCTCAACCGGTCTCTTTGATTGACTCCATCTTGATATTGTGGACGTGTTTCCTGAGTGGGGTAAGGAAATCGTGTGATTTCTCAAAGTTGGACCAGTTTCGAATAAAGGCAACGTTGAATTTTTATAAATATTATAGGCCACAGCTTTTCATTTAGATATGATTGAAATTTATACCTTGATTTTTGCGCAAATGGCCATCGGCTTTAGGGCTGCGGGTTCGGTCACTGCAGATTACTGTACATGGCCACGTACGCCGGTGAATTGCTAGAGTAGTTAGTGCTTATAAGTCTTAGTAAGTTAGACATTAGAGCAATGGATTTTTAAATAAAAAAGCGTCGGTCTGGACTCAAAATTATGCATCATAATAAATTGAAGTAGTTATTTAAAATACAGCGGGAGCAAACTTGAAGAAACGGGCGTTAAAATTGTTTGAAGAAAGAGGGGGGAAAAGGTGAAAAAATTATATTTCCTTCATATTCACTTACAAGGAGCCTGTTTGAATAATACAGAGTCTTGCCTTTCATATTTTCAGGTTGTATATAACTGTTCAGCATGAAGTCCAACGCCCCACTATGGCTAATGCGTATGTCGCCGGAGAAACAGGATACACTGTTAAAGATAATGGTCCTGACCCTGGGATGTGTGTTATGTATGTTATCCCCCTCTGTTATTTTTATTTTTTATCCAATAAAAATTTAATAGATATATCATTATCTGAATTCATAAAGTAAAAAAAGATTCATGAAATAATGCTACTAGTAGAAACATTAATTGTAAGAGATGTCTGAGGCTTTCTGCAAAAATAGTAAGAAATAAATAAAATAGTAAAGATAAATGATTGAGTAATGAGTAACAGAAATAAAATTTTGAAAATGTCTTTGGCCTGTAATATAATTCATGCCTTTTTTTTCATGATGAAACTTCAATCTATTATTTTATTTTGCAGCATTCTCTACTCGCCTCTTCTCTGTTTTACGATTTGAGAGCGTCATTCACGAATTTGATCCCTACTTCAACTACCGCACCACGCGCTACTTGACGGAGGAAGGGTTCTACTCTTTCCACAACTGGTTTGATGACAGGGCCTGGTATCCACTGGGGAGAATTATTGGTGGAACTATTTACCCAGGTATATTTCATTGTGGCCACACCCCTGTTTATTGAAAGTTTAATTAGTCTTGCATAGAGCAATCTTACTGTACTAAATCTAAGCTGACATAGTTGTGTTTCACAAGAATTTAGAGATTCTTTTTCCTGTTTTTATCCCTGGTCTTTTAACTAAGCCCTTTGATGTAATTGGGATTGCTGTAGGAAGAATTATTGTTGGAAGGATTTACCCAGGTAAATCGTATTATTGCCAAGTGTCTTGTTTTTTTGCATTTTGTACCATTTTATATTTGGCAAGAGAAAAAAGGCAAAATATTTTAATATTTGTAACACTTCTCCTGGATCAGCTATAGTACTTCTATTTCATTGGCAATTTATGACAAATTTATGTAATTCATATTTCAGGATTGATGGTGACATCTGCAGCAATCTATCATTTCCTGCGTTTCTTCAACTTTACCATCCACATCCGTGAGATCTGTGTGTTCCTGGCCCCCTTGTTTTCCAGTTTTACCACACTGGTCACCTACCAACTGACCAAGGAGCTCAAGGTGAGATATTTATTCATTTGTTCATTCATTCATTTATTTTTTTAAATTTATTTATTTTTCTTTCTTTCTTTCTTTATTTGTTTTGTTTATTTTGTTTTATTTATTTAGTTACTTAGTTTGTTAGTTAGTAAGTTAGTTCTTTCTTTTTCTTTCTTTCTTTCTTTCTTTCTTTCTTTCTTTCTTTGTTCTATTTATTGCCCATGATCACTGCTTCATTGATATATCAAGAATTACGTATTCTAATTCTTTTTTTTTAGGAGATTGGCAGGCTGATAAAAATAAGCAAAAGAGAACATAAAATTACACTAGATCTGAGCAATTTAAATAATCATGTAAGTCACTTCATTTAATACTTCTATACATGCTCTCTATACATTATGAAAATAATGTACATTCTGGATTATATACTTATCTTGCAGGATGCAGGTGCAGGTCTTGTAGCAGCAGCCATGATCTCCATAGTCCCGGGCTACATTTCACGTTCTGTCGCTGGCTCCTACGATAACGAGGGTATCGCTATCTTCTGTATGCTGTTGACCTATTTGCTGTGGATCAAGTCCGTGAAAACTGGCTCCGTCTTCTGGTCAGCTCTCTGTGCCCTGGCCTACTTTTACATGGTGGGTGTGATGTTTTTAACAAAAAAAAAATGTAATTATAGATGGATGTAAGTTTGAGGCCATTTTTCAGATTCTTTTAGCATGACAACTGGTCTAAATATGTTTTTCTTTTATTGCAACATTCCAAAAAGGCACAGCACCTCTGCCATTTGTAATAACAGCTTACAGGAAAGTTCATTTAATCTGACTGCTTAATTGTTGTGCTACTTTGTCAATCTCATAGATTTATAAAAAACATATTTCTAGAATATATTTATTTATTGATATATGTATTTTCCCCTAGGTTTCCTCATGGGGAGGCTATGTATTCTTGATCAACTTGATCCCTCTTCATGTGTTGGCTTTGATGGCCACTGGCAGGTTCTCACACAGAGTATATGTGGCCTACTCCTCAGTAAGTATTACACCTTACTGTTACAGTAGGGCAAATCTTCTATTTGTTTTAAAGCCATATGATATTAGACATAGCAGAGTATGAAATATGATAAAACAATTGCAAAGCTTCTTAAATAATATAAGAGCTTTCTTTGTGATTTACCATTAAAAATCCTGGGCCCAGTTTTGCTGTAAAAGAACTTAGGTCCATGGTCTTAAAAAATTATACACCACAATTTATGTCTGCTTCAAGCCAGCATAAATTTCCGGTTGTCCAGACCAATAAAAGAAAGTAAATATCACTTTTACCTAAAATTCAGTTATTCCCAAATTTACTTACTTACTATAATTTATAAAACAGGATCAATATCCTCAGTTACTAGCAATCTAGCTTTTTTTTTTTTTTTTTTTTTTTTTTTTTTTTTTTTTTTTTTTTTTTTTTGGTGATTTACAAAAACATTTGAACATTTAATACTTCAGGTAGATAATGTTATATTTAGTATAATTTTTTACATTTCAGGTCTATTGCTTGGGGACCATTTTGTCCATGCAGATCTCTTTTGTTGGCTTCCAGCCTGTACAGTCCAGTGAACACATGGCTGTGAGTGTGCCTTATGAATATTAACAATAACTTATGAATATTTAGATTGACTTATGAATGTTCATTATTTTACACTTTGAAATTTGTATTGAGCTTCAGTGTTTGTTAGATGAAAAAAACTTAAATTAACTTTTGTTGAAATTTAAAACATAATTAATTACTTTTCGTAACCATCATCAAAACAGTTTCCATTTTTTTTTTTTTTTTTTAATTTAAATTCCCATATCCAGTTTACCAGGTTAAGCTTTGTTAATGAATTAATTTTTTTTTTCTTCAGGCTTTTGGAGTGTTTGGCCTGTGCCAGATTCACGCCTTCATCGACTACGTGCGCTCCAAGCTCAGCCGAGAGCAATTCAACATCCTCTTCAAGAGCGCCGTTCTCCTCTTCGGCACCGTAGCAACTGGAGTTGGCGCTGTTCTGACTGCCACAGGGAAGATCTCTCCCTGGACGGGACGTTTTTACTCCCTCTTGGACCCCTCGTATGCCAAGAATAACATTCCAATCATTGCCTCTGTCTCTGAGCATCAGCCGACCACTTGGAGCTCTTTCTATTTTGACCTGCAGATGCTGGTGTTTATGTTTCCAGGTGAGAGAAAATAAATTCCATTCTAAGTAGGCTGATGAACAATTTAATTCAATTTCCAGGAAATTTTTGCCAGTTTCTTCACACCTTGTTAAGAATTGTTTCCAGAAATGTGATTCATAATTCAGTTTCAACCTAATTTGAATTTAATTAATTTTTGAGCCCCTCACGTAATGATGGCGATAAAAACTGCTAAATTTCATGTATTGAAATATAATTTCTATAATATAACATTTTGTAAGCTAATTGAGACCAACTTGCTTTTGAGAAAAAGTATGGCACAGTTTTGATAGACATTTTACTGACAGACATCGTTTTTTCATCATTTCAGCTGGATTGTACTTCTGCTTCTCCCGTCTCACTGACGCCAACATCTTCATTATCATGTATGGTGTCACCAGTATCTACTTTGCAGTGAGTATTTATTTGACATTTGATTAGTTGACATAAGGTATTTTTTAGCAGTATTTGTAGATGTATGCAGTGTTATTTTTTTAGTTTTATCACTATTGCATTAATGAGAGAGATTAATTGTCTATGTAGTATGTTGATCATGTTTCTATTTTGGTGAAAAATAAATTGGTGTCTATCTTTTGTGTTCCCATCTTGGTTGTGATTCTTTTTAAGTTAATTTTTTATGTCTTTATTACCGTATCTTAATTGTTTTTCAAAGGGACTTGACACTTTTCCTGATGGTCTTTGGCATAGCTGGTTTTAGAAAGATTTTCATGTTAAACCCATATATCTTGACATTCCACAGAGATTAATGGCGATTTTCATATATTTTTTTTTAATCTGGTGTAAGTCACATTTTCATGCTTAACTTCCTCACTGTTCTCTAGGGTGTCATGGTGCATATTATGTTATAAATTATATCATGTTTAATCTCCTTTCTGTTCTCCAGGATGTCAAGGTGTATCTTGTGTCATAAATTGTGTCATGTTTAATCTCCTTACTGTTCTCTAGGGTGTCATGGTGCGTCTGATGTTGGTCCTAGCGCCTGTCATGTGTATCATCGCTGGCATCGGCATCTCATCCACGCTCACCACTTACATGAAGAACCTGGACATCTCCAAGAAGGACAAGAAACCCAAGAAAGGCGGAGATGCTAATTATCCTATCAAGAATGAGGTAAGGGACAGTTTGATGGAGATTGGAGTTTTCATATTGATCTCATTGATTTCAGATTGTATTAGGATCGTTTATCGCTTTGAGAGTCACCATTTTGTTAGTGTGTTTTATTATAATAAAATATTCAGTTTTTGTTAGAGTTTAGGGCTTTTTATTTTGGATGAAACTTCATTTGACTGTTTTTGAATCAAAAGGTTGTGTCATTGCATGGTACAGAACTGTTTTGTGTTATAACTTTGATTAGAATCATTTTTTATTGATATTTTCCTCATGGAAATAAAGTTCTAAATTAATGACAAAGCAAAGCTGTCACCAGACCTTAATTATAAGTATTAGATAAGGAATACTTAGTCTACCCTCTGCTGCTTACTTCAAAATGAAACAAAACTAAATTTTGACACTTAGTACCAAAATGAGATGTTTATGATTTGAACACTAGACAAGGATGAGAATTTTATGACCATTGGCAGATTTCCAACTTTTTGAGAGCCAGAAATGTAATTTGCCTACGAAGCCTCCTGAGCCCACACCATATTTTTCTACTTTTTATCTAAATAGCAGTCTTGCCCCTGACAAAATCATATAATATTAGATGAGAGTATTGATATATATGTGACTCACCATTTCAGATTGCCACTGGTGTAGTAGTCTTAATGACAGCCTTTCTAATCAGTTACGTGTTCCACTGTACCTGGGTCACCTCGGAGGCCTACTCCAGTCCCTCTATCGTTCTCTCTGCCAGAGCTGGTGATGGCGGAAGGATTATATTCGATGACTTCAGGGAGGCTTATTATTGGCTGAGACACAACACTCCAGAGGTAAGTAAGGGCGTGTAGTGTTTTTGTTTTTTGTGTGTTTGGTGTTTGTGGGGGGGGGGGGGGGTCTGAAATGTGGCTTTTGAAGTATTATCTGGTGAAATATTGTGTTAAATAAATATATTCATGTTTTTTTTTTTTTTTTTTTTTTTTATGTATGATCTGGCCTAAGTTGCAAACAAGAATTAATCTATCAGTTTGAAAGAAATTTGTTTTACACTACTCAAAACCTTTTTTTTTTTTTCTTTTTAATATAAATCACGTGTGGTTCTATTGAAATCCAGATGCCAAATTGAGTTTTCAAATGATAATTTCATTTGTTCTTAATTTTGTAGCTGATGTGATGAGCCCAAATGAGTACCATATGTGATCCTCAGTAATATCTGTGTTTTCGTCTAATTCCAGGATGCTAAGGTGATGAGTTGGTGGGATTACGGCTACCAGATTACAGCGATGGCCAACCGGACGATATTAGTGGATAATAATACCTGGAACAATACACATATATCAAGAGTAGGACAGGTAAATACTGAACACATCACCTATATATAGTTAGTATATAATAATACCTGGAATAATACACATATATCTAGAGTGGGACAGGTAAATACTGTACACATCACCTATATATAGTTAGTATATAAAAATACCTGGAATAATACACATATATCTAGAGTAGGACAGGTAAATACTGTACACATCACCTATATATATAGTTAGTATATAATAATACCTGGAATAATACACATATATCTAGAGTTGGACAGGTAAATACTGAATGTATGTCAACTATATACTAAATCAAAAATGATGATCCCCTTTCCAATATTCGTTTAGTAGTTGTAGTAATGATTATTAATGTTGGAAAATAATCGGAAGAAATTAAAATAATACTTTATTTTTATTTTTATTATTTTCTAGGCAATGGCATCAACAGAAGATAAGGCATATGAGATCATGAGAGAACTTGATGTCAATTATGTCCTTGTTATTTTTGGTGGCCTAACAGGCTACTCCTCTGATGGTAGGTAGAACACAATGATCTTTTGATTTTATATAGTTGTCATCACACAAATATTGACCTATCATGTCCACGTGGATTGTTATTGTTGAAAGATGTTTGGTGTTGTCTCTTTCCTTTTTAATCACTGATCAGTAAGGAGACTCAGACTTTTCATCTGCATTTTTGCAGGAAAGTTTATTTATTTATTTATTTATTTATTTCTTTATTTGTTTTAATTAATTGATTTTTTTTATGGTAGCTAATCATCACCAGGGCTGCCTTTATAGTGTGAAGTTTTCCTCACCATTTCTTGTTTGCCAATGGCGGCAACCGCTTTCTCCTTACTTTTTGTTTCAAACTCTGGGATCAAGCAGTTTGGTCTGCCTCACAATTTTGAAATTAAAGTCCCAAGTCCTCTCTTTCTCCAGACATCAACAAGTTCCTGTGGATGGTGCGTATAGGTGGCAGCACTGACCGAGGCGCTCACATCAAGGAAGCGGACTATTACACTCCCCAGGGAGAGTTCCGCGTGGACAAAGAAGGCTCTCCGATCCTCCTGAACTGCCTGATGTACAAGATGTGTTACTACAGATTTGGATCCGTCTACACAGAAGCCAGTGAGTATAAATAAAAGGAGAGCAGAGAAAGAACTTTAACAAAAGAACCTGTGTCTAAAGTTAGTCTAGATTTAGAATAGACCTCATATATTTATATACAACATTATGGCATAAGTCAAAGACAATTGTTATTGTTAGTTTTTTTTTTTTTTTTTGTTTTGTTTTTTTTTTTTAATTATCATTATTATCATTATTAGCATTAACAGTAGATTTGTTGTTGTTAGTATCATTTATTTTAGCGTGTGTTCCTTCTATTAACCAGACAAACCAAATAGCGGTAGAAGTAGTAGAATTGTAGTTATAATTATCATTTATTTAAGTGTTATTTCAATATTTGACTTTCCCCTTCTTTTAACCAGGCAAACCAATTAGTAGTAGCAGCAGTAAAATTGTAGTTATAATTATATTTTATTTTAATGTTATTTGAATATGTCATTTCTGTTCCAGGCAAACCAACAGGCTACGACAGAGTCCGCAACACTGAGATTGGTAACAAAGATTTCCAGCTGGACGTCCTGGAAGAAGCTTACACCACCGAACACTGGCTGGTCCGCATTTATAAAGTTAAAGATCTCGAGAACAGAGGCAATTAGTTTTACGACTTCTTCATCATAAAAAACCTAGCTCTCCGTCACAGTCAATGCCACTGACTTAACTCGTCTTACAGGGCAATTACACTTATGCAAGACTCGACAGTAGTTTTTTATAGAGACCCAATAATATAATGATGATGATAATTATATGATTTTTTTTTCTTTAGATTTATGATTTGTATATGACTATGTATATATTTACATCAACTTTATGGACAGATTATACCAAGCTGGATTGTATTGGAATGGGCGTGAAATGTTTAGTAAGATCGTGCTCTGTTATAAAACCAGAGAATTTCCGTGTGTAAGTTTACTGAATCCTTATGCTAAGGCGTTAAAATTGGCAGATTATAAAAAAAGAAACGAGTGTGGGGATGAAATTCTGTATTTGAACTTTGGAATGGGATGAGGAGAGTAGCAACTTTATTTATTTATTTATTTATTTATTTATTTATTTATTTATATAAATGGTCTCGGTGGTAGAGATCAGAACTGTAGGATGATACAAAATCCATCGATAAAAAGCAGGCGCTGTATTTGCTTTTTGGAATATGAGGTGGTGAAATTTTTTCTTCACGTGTTACTTCTACACAATAGACGACAGTCTCCTTGGTAAATAGACAAGATTTATGAAACGGTATCATATTTGACAGTGTATCATGTGTACATATGTATGTTCGACCGAACATTATTTTGCCGGCATGGCGGCGTGTATGCCATCTGTTAGCCGCGTGTAATTGCGGACGGAACACGGTTTTGGCCTGCTGAATCCGGCTGTTGTTTGTAAGTACACACTGGGATACATGTTTACTGGGGTGGGACTGTGAAATTTGATTTGACCACAAGTGGAAATGACCAAAGGTCAGTGCCTCCTTGACCAAGCTAAACCTCGGTTGAAGAGTATTTGGGGGGGGGGGGGNNGGGGGGGGGAGATCGGAACATCTCAACCACACAGCGGGATTCTGTTGCAAGAGATTTAGGAATAGGATTCTAGAATCGCTTTATGTTGAAAGCTTGTTGCCTTCATCCACCTCAACCCCCAAGTTGTTTCATTGGATTTCTAGATGGATTCTTTCGATTTTAGCTGTGTCATTTTGCGACCCGTTCTGTTTTCCATAATCTTGTTAATTAACCTATGTTAATAAGATTATCTAATTACACCCAGCATTTTAAGGTGCAGATAAAGCCGTCATCAGCTGGCCGTTGCGAGTTCTTTTACATCCCACGCCAGTTGCACATATAATTGATGTAGGCCTACGTTTTGCGCAACTGGTGAGCTAACAGCATTTTTTTTTTATTAAAGGCAGTTCTTTGATGACTGGCTTGTTCTATGGACCCAACGTGTTAAGCAATTTAAGCTGTCGCAAATATGAACAAAGGCAATGTCAAAAACTGCTTGTAGTTGACAATACTTGGAATTCTTTGTAAAACGTGACTTGAGCGATTTGGATCTTTTGAACATGAAGATTGGCAATTTTTGCAAGTTGTTGCAAAAATATGTGTGTAACAAGATAAATGCTTGGTAAGACACGTCTGTTTGAAATATTTTAAGAAGTTAAGGTGTCAAGATGCACATTCCGTAGCTTGCGGCGGAGGCAGAAGAAAGTGCCCAAGTCGCAAGACCTGTTTAATTTTTTTTTAATGTAACCAAAGTATATGTGGCTAGGACTGAGTTTGTGAAAAACAAAGATGGTGGCGAAATTGAAATAAAACCTAAGATTATTTAAGATAATTATAGCGTTTTATCTTGAATTATTGTTTCTCTGTGGTTTAAATTTACGCACTTCATTGCCAACCAGTGTGAGATTGGAAAAAAGAAAATACATATTTCCTGAACAACTTTTGAATATTTAATGCTTGCAAAGCCCAACATATTATACGAGACCAAATTATCACCACCAACTATCAAATCGGCTTAAAGACTATAAGAGAAGTCTTTTTATGAAAAAAAAGGGGCAAATTAGTCAAAGCAAAATGATTATAGAAAAGTTGTCAGGTTTTAAGACAAAAAGTTCTACTTTTCATGAAAATGGAAAATGATATTAAAATTAAAATATTGATAAATCGGAACTGGACGACCAATGATATATGAAACGCGTTCATGTGCAGTTTGAAAGAATAAGGGGATAACGTTGCAACATGGAGTAATTTCATTAACTCAAAAAGTCATCGTCGCCTTAATTGTGACAATGGTATACAGAATTAATTCTATCTGTGAGAAATTATAAAATAGTAAGACTCTACTGGTCTATTCAAGTTGAGCGTTGTTTCTTAGCTGTACACATGTTCCAAAAGAATGACAAGAAAATAGTGAGGCTCATACGTAAGCGAGTGATTTACATGGTTTTTGAAATCATTTTATTATCAGAGCTCCTTCCACCTCAGTGGTTACATAGTTTTTCGTTTCAAGCCTTTTTAATCATCTTAGATTATTTTTCACACAAACTGATGACGCACTTCCTGTCCAGTGGTGACGTTTCAATTTGGAATTGTGCTTCTCTCGTCAGGAAGCCAAGACTTTTATTTTTGGCAAATGGCGTTTCAGAATACCTTTGCTGTGTGTTACTTTATTTGCACTTTAAGTTTGTACCCCTTTTTTCGGCCTTTTCGTGTATAATTATCCCATAAAGGAACATCCGAACGAACTATTCAGGGGGCGTTTTCACAAATGGATCCTTAAAAGCTATCCAACTTATACACTAAAATTTGTTGTTCTCTTCGATTAAAAAATAGCTCATAAATAAAAGAAAATAATATGATTTTTTTCGCCGGAGTTTTTTAACAAGAAAGAGATAACAAATGTTTGAGATCAATGCTCATTTTGTAAAATCGCCCAGGTGCTTGTCGTGAGCGCTGTTCCCATAGTTAGATTGATCTAGCAGGATTGACCCATCTCCGAGGGATTTTTGCTAAATTGCACTCAGTTTAAGTGGCTTTGATGTCTTCCACGCCTACTGAAGCTGCTAAACGATAGTTAATTACCCCCTAACAGCTTCAGAAGGCATGCCAGACATCAGAGACGCTTAAGGTGAATGCAATTTAGCGAGAAACCCCTCGGAGATGGGTCGATTCTGCTAGATCTATCTAGGTATTGGAATGGTATCGTAGCCGTCGTTTCCTTGAGATACGCCCCTGAACAAGGCACGCAACTTAACGCTAAGGGTGGGCGGTACAATTAAAGATTAGATGGACTCCCCATGGTGAGGCTATCGCAACCCCATACTGGACTGGAAATTCGCTTTCAGTGATCAACACATAAGCTATACAGTTCTAGCTTTAAAAGAGATTACACTTGGCCTGGTAAAAACATGCCACAAATTCTTTTCGACAAAACCATTATAATAACATATTAATGAAAATTAATGATCTGCTTAACTTAACAAAATACTCTGATTATTGAGAAGTTTGTTTATATAGTACCCCAAATCACAGTTGCGTTATAGTTTTTGATTACAATTAAGTTTAATGATACACTTGTGTTATACGGCGTACATATTGATTGGCTTCATTCCTTATATGTCATAGAATATATGTATATTTTTCAAACTAACTCGGCCTATCATCTTCACCTTGAAACGAAATGCATAATGTTTGCAGCAGAATAAACACGTACTATCTTTTAACTTGTTCCTTGTTACTGGCATAATAACAAGGTTTCCACTCTCTTCTTCTCCTCGAGATAAGGATTCTGAGCCCAGCACACAAACAGAAATGTTTAAAAGTATTTTACCCACGACAAATGTCAATTCAACTTGGGCTACTGAACCTGTTTCACAAAGAGTGACAATAGCAGATGTTTCGTTTCGGTTTGATAAATGTTGCAATATTTCGATCCATTGGTAGGCAAAGGATTTATCTTAGGTCAAAATACAGGCCCGTAGCCAGCAATTTCAAAAGGGGGGTTCTTTTTCCGAAAAAGTGGACCTTTTCCCATAAAAACTACATGTACCTAGATCAAATTTTACCCAGAGTGGACCTTTTCCCAGCAAAAAGGGGCGGTTCTTTTGAACCCCCC